CGGTGGCGGCTGCGGCTGCTGCTGCTGCTGCTGCGGCGGCTGCGGCTGCTGCTGCTGCTGCTGCAGCTGCGGCGGCGGCTGCGGCTGCTGCTGCTGCGGCTGCTGCTACTGCTGCTGCTGCTGCTGCTGCTGCTGCTGCTGCTGCTGCTGCCGCTGCTGCTCCAGAAGGTCCAGCACCCGCAGCTCCTGCCGCTCCCTCTCCAACCGCTCCTGCTCCTCACGCTCACGCCGACGGGCAGCCTGGGGACGCGTGTCGTGGCGGTGTGGAGGCGGAGTGGACTCCGCAGAACCAGGGTCTCCAGCTCCAGTCTCCTCAGACTCAGCACCCCCAGAACCAACACCTCCAGTGTCAGGACCTCCAACTCCAGCACCCCCAGAACTAGCACCCCCAGTGCCAGCACCTCCAGTTCCAGCACCCCCAGAGTGAGCGCCACCTGCACCAGCCCCTCCAGCTCCAGCACCCCGCGAACGAGCACCCCCAGACCGCGCACCACCAGCGGCAGCACCTCGAGCGCCAACACCAACCAAGTCCACAGGAACCTGTCGCGGAAGTGCCGAAGGCTGCTGAGGGGACTGTGAGGAGGACTGCGGGGAGGGAGACACTACCTGACGCGCGACCGAGGGTAGAGGGGTAGCGTGGGACACACCAGACGGGGCAGGACCAGGGGGGGGAGAGGGTACCGGAGGATCAGGAGCAGGAGGAGGAGAGGGTGCTAGGAAAAGGGGGGGAGGGGGTACCGGGAGACCTCGACAGGGGTACCGGGTGTAGTAGGACACAGACTCGTCAAACCGGACGTCACGGGAGTCTAGGAACTGGTGGAGGGGCGGGTGGTAAAAGGACCAGTCGGCAGAGTCCATTGGGAAACCAAGGAAGACACAGGGGACGGCGCGTGCCGAGAGCTTGTCCGCGGAGGTGTCGCGAACAAGCGCAAAGCAGCCCCAGACTCGAAAGGCCGACCCAACACCAGGGGAACCAGTCCAAAGACTGGTCGGTGAAGCCTCAGGCCGCGAGACACACGGCTGGAGGTTCAGCTGGTGTGCGGCGTAGCGAACCGCATGGGGCCACAGAAAATGGGGCGCACGGGCATGGATCATGGACGTGCGGGCGATGTCCATGACCAAGCCTATGCGGCGCTCAGCAACCCCATTCTGCTGTGGGGACTCTGGTAGCGTCCAGGACTGTGTGATGCCCTGTTCGCCGCAGAATCCGCCGAGAATGCCGGAGCGAAACTCGCCCCCACGGTCGGAGTGGAGACAACTGACTCGACGACCACGAGTGCCCTCAGTGGCTAGAAGCCACCTGATCAGCGTAGCAGTCACCTCGGACTTCTTCGCAAGAGGGAACACTGTGGTGTACCTGGAGTAGTCGTCGACGACCACCAGAAAGTAACGCTCCCTCCCAGACCCCTGCGTCGGGGCAGGGCCCTAGACGTCCAAGTGGAGAGTCTTGAAGGGAGCGGTGACCGGACGAAGGGAGGAGGAGTGGGGAGTGGCGCGTAAGCGACCGGCGACTCACGGAGAGCAAGGAGGGGCAAGCAAGGGAGGGAGCGACGGGAAGGTGCGTGGGAGACCTGTGACAAGTACCTGACTGAGCATGCCACGAAGGCGAGGGATCGACGGGTGGCCAAGGCGGTGGTGCCACAGGACGGTGCGGTGGGCGAGAGAGCGACAGGAGCAAGACGCAGCGACTGGACTGGACACAGCGACCGGACCGGACACGACTACCTGGCTAGACACAGCAACTGGACTGGGGACCTGGGCCGGAGGGGACGCAACGACCTGAGGGGAGGACGCGATCGGGGAGCGCTCGGTGTGGAGAACGTAGAGACCGGAGCGGGGCTCCCTGGTGAACGTGGCCAGAACAGCACCTGTGGTAGCGTCTGTACAGACTGCAGTCCGCCCACCCCCCACGAAGGTAACCGTGATCCCCCTGTCCTGGAGGTATCCAACACCCACCAAGTTCCGAGTGAACGAGGGGATGCGGAGGCTGCGCAGGACACCAGAGGGGACCACAGGGCATGGGAGGGTGGTGGAGCTACGCGCAACGGCTGGTCCAGAGGTAGGATCAGCCAGAGCCACTGACACAGGAGTGAGGAGTGGCGTAAGGGTCGTGTGGTCGCGGAAGAAGCACTGAGACGCGCCCGAGTCCAGCGTGAACGACAGAGAGGCCTCAGCCGGAGGGTCACCTGACCCAGTCGCTACACAAGCACCTAGAGTAGCAACACAAGCACCTAAGCTAGACAAGAACAAGGCTACACTAGCAGGAGGCAAGCAGGCTAAGCTACGAACACGCGAGCATACAGATCCATCAGCACTAAAGTCAGCATCAACATACAAAGCATGCTGACGCGCATCGTCCATGGACAGATCAAAGACATCAATCTTACGGGCTAACAGACGAGACCAGCGAGGCGTGACCGCCAGAGGGCCCCAACGAGCCCGGTAAAGGTCGTCGAGGCGGCGGAAGCACCGCGCGGCAGAGTGATCGTCGCGACCACAGAGACAGGGGCTGCCCGGCCCGGTGAGGCACCAGTGGGTGCAGGGGCCAGCGTCACGGCGAGGGGGGCGAGGGGCCCAGCTGGAAGAGCTGCTGCTGCGGCCGGTGCTCCCAGGACCTCCCGGACCCCACTGCGGCGGGGGACCCCAGTGCTGCTGCGGACCCCACTGCAGCGGGGGCCCCCACTGCTGGAACTGCTGCGGTGCCTGCTGCTGCTGCTGTCCCTGCTGCTGCTGCTGTCCCTGCTGTAGCTGGTGCTGCTGTGGCTGCTGCTGCTGGGGGGCAATACCCCCACCGGTCGGGCCACCACCTGTGGGTGGACCTGTCTGTCCTGCGCCTCCTGCAAGGCCCCCTCCCCCTGGTGCACCACCGCCGCCGCCGCCGCCGCCTCCACCACCACCGCCGCTCCCACCTCCACCACCCCCTCCGCCGCCACCTCCTCCGCCCCCACCTCCCCCCTTCCCGCCCTTCTTGCCACTCTTGCCCCGTTTCTGCCAGTCTGCCGGAGTATCGGCAGCGGTGTCCTCAGAGACCGACACAGCAGCAGAAGCGCGGGTAGCGGTGAAAGTGGGAAGCTGAGGGGCGGCACACCCCGCAAAGAGACGGGGGGCCACCGCATCAGTGGTGGAGGCAACGGTGAGGAGGCTGCTCTCGATGGTCCCGAGAGCAGTCTGAAGGAGGTCTATAGTGAGTTCAGTGGGGTGATTCTGAAGAAGCGCGTCGCGGGCAGTGGCAAGGTGGTCAGGGAGGCGGGTGATTAACCAGTGCACAGTGAGCCACATGGGGGGGGGAGAAACAAGGAGCTGTGCGTCGGTAGAGGCCGAACGAAAACCGGCATCAAGCGAGCGGAGGTGAGTCACTAGGTCGGAAACAGTCGCAAACGAGCCTAGGTCGGGAAACACGAACGGCATGAGGAGGCGACTGAGGGAGGCGGAGGAGGGGGTGGAATAGCGAGCCACAATAGCATCCCAAACCCCCTTGGCTGTCTCCACCTGGTCAAAGTGAGCGGCAGTCGGGGGGAGAAGCTCCGATAGCGTGAGGGCGGCGGCCGCGTCACGAGAGAGCCACACGTCCCGAGCCAGGTCCCGACGGTCGTAGTCCGCCTGGGCCGTAGGAGTCGGCTCCAGGGCGGTCGGCAGGGCGGCGGGGGACGGGGGTGCCGCGAGAGCACCCGACGCGTGGGCCCACAGAGTGGCGCCGTCCTGACGCTGGCTGGTGAGGAAACGTGTGGTCTGGCGCTGCCAGGTACCGAACTCGATCGGGCGTCCCTCAGCATCGAAACGGAGGCGACGGGCCTCCATAGCGGAGCCCATGCTAGAGACGACTGGAGCACGGCGGAGGCGGAGCTAAGAACGAGGAGGAAAACTACGGAGGGCTAGGGACGCCAGCGGGGAAACCGACGAGAGACAGTCGGCGAGAAAATAGTCGTGGGGCGGGGCTCTAACCGAACCTAGGTGGCGCGACCGGAGGGAAGAGCGACTGCCAGCCGCTGAGCCGGGAGCCAAGTGCAGTAGGAATGGCGTGGGACCGGGGCACAGGTGAAGGGGAGAGAGATGCAGTAAGCGCACAAAGGGATGCGGTAAGCGCACGCAGGTGTGCGGTAAGCGCACGCAGGTGTGCGGGAAGCGCACGCAGGTGTGCGGGAAGCGCACGCAGGTGTGCGGGAAGCGCACGCAGGTGTGCGGTAAGCGCACGCAGGTGTGCGGTAAGGGCACGCAGGTGTGCGGGAAGCGCACGCAGGTGTGCGGGAAGCGCACGCAGGTGTGCGGGAAGGTTTACGGAGGAGGGCGCGTGACAGGCGGAGGGGAGGGCACGCGACGGTCTAAGGAGGGCGCGCGACGGTTGAGGAGGGCGCGCGACGGTGGGGGAGGGCGCGCGGCGGTCTAAGGAGGGCGCGCGACGGTTTAGGAGGGCGCGCAACGGTGGGGGGAGGGCGCGCGGTGGTCTAAGGAGGGCGCGCGACGGGCTGGACAGCGCGGGAGGGCGCGGAGGGCGCGAGAGCACGGAGGGCGCGTAGGGCGCGGAGGCTAGCTAAGAACGAACGAGGATCTAACCTACTCGTGATACCATCTCAGAATAGGAATGCAACGGAATGGTTGGAATTAGGGTTTGCAAGGGTACAAATAGGAATCCTACAAAAGCTATACTCTCTAGGGAGTACCTCACTGCAGCCTATCATAACATTAACATTTGACAGTAACTTGTAAGCCACAATAAGGTTAGGTTGAGAAATAGCTGAAGTGAAGAGAACTTTCTTAGAGGCAACCCAACCATTTGCCACATACCATGCAGGGTGTCATTGGATTGTATGCACTCCAGTTCCGTAACATATGTGTAAGGCCTGACATGCAACATATCCCTGCATTAGAGTTGTTTGTTTTCAACTTTCGGTTTGTGTTTTCCACGTTTGTGATATAAACTGACTTGAAGTCTGAAAAACGCCATGAACAGACAGTGCAAAGTGCAGGGAAGCCAGAATATCATGATGTTGGGCTACAATGCCTTATGTGAAAGTAACCAGCGCCCCGACGCAGTGAGCGGCACGTTGGCAACTTGGTGGGGGGGGCGCACGTGCAGCACACTGCAGTCCAGCACAGCTGCCCCATTCCCAAAGATGAATCCACTGACCCATTGATTGATGTACGGTATGGTAGCAGTTGCGGTGATACCGCCGCACGCCGTGCACATACAGTGTGTCCTGTGGGGCAGGGGGGGAGGGGGGAGGTGCTGATGAGAGGGTGAGGGGTGGGGAGTTGGAGTGGGTAGGGATGCGACAGGTCACATGATTAATTCATAGAGTGTCACCTTCTGGCGAGGGTGGAAAAAGAGGATGGGAGTGGACCTGCCGTGGTGGAGAGAGAGGGATGCGTTCAGCTTGCTGTGCAGGCCAATCTCAGGCAGCACTTGTCCATCCATCCCATCCCACCCCACCACACCGCACTGCAACCTACCGCACACTGCACCCCCACCTGCAATTTGTGGAGGTGGCAGCTGTAGAAAGCAGCACCGTCCCCCGTATGACGAAACACCATGGCCTGCCGGCCCTCCCTCCCCACCGCGTTCTCAAAGCCCACTACCACCGCTGCAAAGGGGCAGGGAGGAGTGGGACAGGGAGGAGTGGGGCAGGGAGGAGTGGGGCAGGGAGGAGTGGGACAGGGAGGAGTGGGGCAGGGAAGAGTGGGACAGGGAGGAGTGGGGCAGGGAAGATTGGGACAGGGAGGAGTGGGGCAGGGAAGAGTGGGACAGGGAGGAGTGGGGCAGGGAGGAGTGGGACAGGGAGGAGTGGGGCAGGGAAAATTGGGACAGGGAGGAGTGGGGCAGGGAAGATTGGGGCAGGGAGGAGTGGGGCAGGGAAGAGTGGGACAGGGAGGAGTGGGGCAGGGAGGAGTGGGACAGGGAGGAGTGGGGCAGGGAGGAGTGGGACAGGGAGGAGTGGGGCAGGGAAGAGTGGGACAGGGAGGAGTGGGGCAGGGAAGAGTGGGGCAGGGAGGAGTGGGGCAGGGAAGAGTGGGGCAGGGAGGAGTGGGGCAGGGAAGAGTGGGGCAGGGAAGAGTGGGACAGGGAGGAGTGGGGAAGGGAGGAGTGGGACAGGGAGGAGTGGAGCAGGGAGGAGTGGAGCAGGGAAGAGTGGGGCAGGGAGGAGTGGGGCAGGGAGGAGAGGGGCGGGGAGGAGAGGGGCGGGGAGGAGAGGGGCAGGGAGGAGTGGAGCAGGAAGGAGTGGGGGAGGGAGAGGAAAGTGGAAGAGAGAGGGAGGTTAAGTGGCGCACGAAGTAGCAAGAGGAGCCATTGCGAGATGCACAAACCAAGGCAGCACACTTAAGCGGTGGGGGAAACACTATGAATGGCAGTCAGGGGGGTGGATGAGGAAAGTTGGTCACAAGAAGAAAGACAGGCAGAGAGAGGCAGGGAGAGGCAGAGAGAGGCAGAGAGAGGTAGAGAGAGGCAGAGAGAGAGGCAGAGAGAGAGGCAGAGAGAGAGGCAGAGAGAGAGGCAGAGAGAGAGGCAGAGAGAGAGGCAGAGAGAGAGGCAGAGAGAGAGAGAGAGGCAGAGAGAGGCAGAGAGAGGGAGAGAGGGAGGAAGAGAGCGGCAAAGAGCAGCAGAGAGAGAGAGAGAGGCAGAGAGAGGCAGAGAGGCCATCTTACCTACGGTGGCGGTGTCAAGGGTGGTGGTGCCAGCAGCGGAGTTGTCAACAAAGGAGATGACGGTGGAAGAGGCGTTGAGCCCCATGAGTGTTTTTGAGAATTCAAAAAAAACAGCCCCATGAGTGTGACTTTCTCCTGCCACTCGCCCATGCTCACCATGGCGTGGCTTGTGCGGTCCGAGGGATGCACGTCCATCCATGGACTACTGTCACGGCGGACAGGCGAAAGAAACATAACGAAATGACATTTTTTACTCGGCTGACAAGTCGACAAAAAGGCGGAAAAACACGTGACCTACCCCATCCTTCCCCATTCCAAAGTGTAACGTGTTCAATTACCCTATCCCATCTTCCCCTCCTCCCCCCCTCCCCTTCCCCACCGCTCTGCTTCTCATCCGCGCCCCTCTCTGTTGCTATGCCCACTACTTGTCCGTCCCCACCCACCCAGCACACACATGCACGGGGAGGTGTGTGTGGGAGACCCCAGAGCTGTCCTGAGCCGCCCCCAGATCACCGGCGCGTGATGTGCGGGGCACAGCCGCCTGCTGCAATGCGCGTCGCGTCACCGGTTGGTCAAGGGGCGCGAGCGGCACCATCCGCTGCCATGGTTAGCGGCTCGCCGGTTGCTGCGATGGGAGGTGGGCCGGCGCGTGCTGCAGTGGAGAAGAGGACAGCTCCGGTGGCTCTGGTGGCTCCGGTGGCTGGCTGACGCGATGACACGAAGACAGCTCTGGTGGCTGGCTCGCCGGATGATGATGTGATGTGACCACAGGGCCGGCGGGTGCTGCAAGGACCGAGGGGACGCAGGCTGCTGCAGCCATGGTCGCCCCGCCTGCTGCTCGCTGCAGCTCTGCCAACACTGCCCGCCTTGCCTCTCCTGCCGCCTCCTCCTGCCACCCGCACCCCACGCACTGCTATGGTCATTCCCGGCTCAAGCAAGCGAATCAGAGGGTAGTGTTGCGACAAATGCACAGCGGCTGTGCGGGCTGCATGAACGGGCCACACACGGCTGCTGATCCCAAGCATGCACAGACCAGCAGCGCTGGAACATGAGCATCGGCGGAGGTGCGGGGGACAAAGGGCGAAGCCCTGGGCGCAGTACCTGCATGGCCTCGCCTCCCCTGCGCCATGGTGGCGCTCTCAGCCTTGTCCACACAGACACGCGCCACACGCATCGGCCACGTCACCCCAGCAAGCACATCAGAGCGAACGAGCTCGACACAGAAGGCGCGACTCCTCCTACTGGAGTTGCAAAAGTTGTACTCACCCGCTTGGTCCATGAGCCAGCCTGCGCCTCGTTTGGGCACACATGATGATGCATGTCTCTCCCCCCCGTCTTCCCCCCCCGCCTGTCTCTCCCTTCCGTCCCCCCCCCCCCCCCCCCCCCCCGCTTGTCTCTCCCCCCCGTCTTTCCCCCCCCCGCCTGTCTCTCCCCCGCCTAACTCTCGTGCGCCTGTTACCCCGCCCCGCGGCCGTCCGCGCGCCCATCGGCAGCTGCCGCAATAAAGGTAGTACAGGCGGCGGTCGCAAACGCGACGATACGGGCGAGAGTCGCTGCCATCGCCATAATCCGCGCTGCTGCGCTGCCCGCAGCCACCGCGACGACCACGATGATGATAGACGACAGTCGCTGCTGGTTGAGCGCGTCGCGGCACTGCAGCAATTCGCGAGCACGCGGCCCTGGCTCTCTCATGCTGCCGCTAGGTCCCGCTGGTGCTGCTGCTGGGAAACGTTTTTCGCAGAAGGATCGTCGCGATGGCAACAGACGACGGTCCTCTTTTCTCCGCGATTGCAGGCTCGTAATGAAGCACATCGAAGGGGCACACAAGACGTGCCGCGAAAGGTGAATTCTATTCTAACCGTCGGCGTGACGATCGTGACTCGTTTGAAGACCTCCAGTGTTCTCAGAGCATGCTAGTGGTGTCGTGAGCAAGCCTCGGATGTAACGATGACTGCACTGCACACGAGGGTGAAAGGTTGGGAAAAGGAGTGGAGTACGGTGGGTTCGGGTGCAGTGTGATGGAGGGAACAAGGGAGCATGGGGAGGACTTGGCGTCATCGACAGCTCGAGGGGGGACCTTTCGCTTCACTCCCCCGCTGGCGGGGGTCATTTCGGGAGGGCGGGGTGGGACGGGTTCCGCTTGTTGCGTGCTGCGCTAGGCGACGGCGTCAGAATGAAAATGACGCGGGGAAAAGGATGCAGGGGCGAAGCGGCGAAATCGGCGGGAGGAGGACGGATTCTTCCCAGGACCAACCCCTGTTTTCGCGGTGTATGCCGGGTGTTTACATTCCCAAGCCCTGCACAGTCAGAAGCCTTGTTTGTGACCATGCGAAAGATATGCTTTGGCGATGAAAACCAGTGCATCGCACATGAATCCATGAATCTAGCGGTACAGCGTTCCATTCAATTTGTGGTGGAGCTCCTGAACGAATCAACAGCCTGTTTTGCATGCGCAGGTGTGCTGGCACTCCCTCCTCCTCTCCCGCCGAATCCAGTGGTTGTCCAGAACCTATCAGAGGTCCCGTCGTTTGGCGTACCCTCGTGTTTTTGTGGCTGCGATTTCTCCTAGATAATGCATCCAACCAATGGGGCTCAGTTGTTCGTAATATGATATTTCCTCCTAGTGTAGCATAACGATTGCTCTCCTTCCATAGAGGCCCTTGCGGTCATATCGTCGAGTGATTTTGCCTTCCTTCGGTTGTTGAGGATTGCAACCTTGCCCAAGGGAATGCACGGTTCATAATTGTAGATCGTCTTTCCTCATTATGCCCACGCGGTGCTAGCCGTCTTTTCTGTGCAGAAAAAAACGAGCAGCTACAAGTTAGATTTTTGTTGGTTCAGAAATTACCGTAGATTTCTGTCGGAATTCGTAAAAGGTGAGCTGTCAAAATACTTCGGCAGCTGGTTGGTGTGCCTTCCGCAAGTTGGAGCGGCGTTCCCCTCATAACTTCCCGACGCGAACGATAATGCAAGAGGAGAGGATGAATTCTTTGGTTGTAGCTGAGAAAAGACGGCAGCATGATAGGCCGCACGCATTAGTAGGGAAGGACACGCGCCGATGAACAATGCATCTCTACGGTTCTACTTCAACTCCAGCTCGGCGACCACAGATGGTGAGAGTCTATATATTGCCGCTGTTGCTTCTAGAGTCTCACATCCAGAGCCCTTTAGTCCTTTTACCGGACTCTGTCATTGTCATTGGCCTTATCATGCGGCCTATCATACAGGTTCGCACTGAGACGAGGTCGTTTCAGTTGCCAGTAGATAAATCCCTCCATTTTCACCTTGGTCTGAGCGACAAGTCTACTACCGTCAGGTCGTTGAGCCAAATTACTTTTTTAGTAGCAGCGGGAATCACCAGCCATGACAACGACTCGACATGGCTTGCTCCTCTCGGTTCTGCTGCTGCTCGTCGTCAGCCTTCTTCCACCCACGATAAACGCCACACGACTGATTTTGGCGCCGTCTACTACTTGCGGGTGTGTTCTCGATGCTACCACTTGTTACTATTTCCCTTCTCTCAAAGAGCACCCTCCCGCTCCCCCTCCCTCCCTTCGCTTTCCCTCCCGTTCGTCCAAAGGGAAACCAAATATTTGTCGAGTAAGCCGAATGCTCAGAGAAGCTGTATTGTCGTGTCGGGCTCCAAATCCCTCCCTCTCCTCTATCGCCTTTCCGTTCTTGTCCCGACTTCTCCCCATGGGTCCTCAAACCGCATCCGTACCCTCTTTCTCTTGTGTCGTTTTCGTGAATGTTCGCAGCAAGACGTATTGGCCCGAGGTGGTGGGGATGACGGGAACGAAGGATCGCGAGCACATTCTTGCCGTCAGTCCGCAATGCCACTGGGACGTGAAAATCATCCCTGCCAACGCATATACCACCTACGAATGTCGCGGAAACCGAGTTCGAGTTTTTGTTGACAAGTTTGGGCTTGTCCGGGTGCCAGTAACATGTGTTCTGCCGCCATGAAAAAAAACACTCTGAATCTGTACTGAGAAGTTCCTGACAGGCACAATAAGTTTTGGGTGTACACCACAAGGACGGACGTAATCCATGATAAGTTTAGGGGTGTAAGCCAGAAGGACAGGGGTATGTGCATGGCCATTTACTTAAGTAAACATGCAACATATCCCTGCATTAGCTTAGATCAGATCAGATGGTGTTTCCACGTTTGTGATATAATCTGACACGCATTCTGAAAAGCGGCCTGAACAGACAGAGCAAAGCCCAAGGAAGCCAGCATATCATGTAGTAGTTGGGCTACAATGACTTCAGCACACGTGCAGCACACTCCAGTCCAGCACACAGCGGCCCAGCACAGCTGTGGGGAGTTGGAGTGGGTGGGTGGGGATGAGAAATATTAATTCGCAGAGTGTCACCTCGTGCCGCAGAGTGGGCAGACGGGATGCGGGTGGACATGATGTGGTGCGCTGAGCAATCGCAGGGGGCTCCTCCATCCATCCTAACCCACCATACCCCACCGCAACCTACCGCACCACGCACGAAGCTCTGCGCAATCACGCGCGAGAGTGGCGGCGGTGGGCAGGTGGACGCGCCCCCCCTGGATTCCCTGCCTCTTTGTCCCCCATCTGCCAGTCACTCGCGCCACGCGCATCTGCCATTCACACGCGCCACTCGCATCTGCCACTCACACGCGCCACTCGCATCTGCCACTCACACGCGCCACCCGCATCTGTCACTCACTCGCGCCACCCGCATCTGCCACTCACACGCGCCACTCGCATCTGCCACTCACTCGCGCCACTCGCATCTGCCACTCACTCGCGCCACTCGCATCTGCCACTCACACGCGCCACTCTCATATGCCACTCACACGCGCCACCCGCATCTGCCACTCACACGCGCCACTCGCATCTGCCACTCACTCGCGCCACTCGCATCTGCCACTCACACGCGCCACTCGCATCTGCCACTCACACGCGCCACCAGCATCTGCCACTCACACGCGCCACTCGCATCTGCCACTCACACGCGCCACTCGCATCTGCCACTCACACGCGCCACTCGCATCTGCACACGTTAGGGCAAACGACTTCGACTCGAAGGGCTTGATTCCTACAGGATACCATGAACCAAGTCACAGGGTTGCGCCCACCTGCTGTGCCCACCTGCTGCGCTCACCTGCTGCGCCCACCTGCTGCATGTGGTCGCCTGCCAGTCTGCGCCACGTCACGCCTTCGGAAAACGTGATGCATGCCTCTCCCCCGGCTTGGCCCCCCCCCCGCCTCTTCCCACCCCCACACCCCTCCTTCGCGCACCCATCTGCGACTGCATCGAACGTGAGAGCGCCACTGCTGCTGCGCGCCTGCCAGTCGCCATGAGCGACGTGGCCGCCCGCGTATTGGCCGCCCGCGTATTGGCCGCCCGCATATTGACTTCCCGCGAAATGGCTTTCCGTGCGCATATCCGCAACCAGCCCGCCCGCTCCGCGTCTGCGGGGTCCGCGGCGCTTCCCGCGTTATGTCTGCCGCCGGGACGACCCCTCGGCTGGGATGGGCGCGGGCGGGCTGTCCAAAACGCGCACGCGGAAGGTAGCGGCGCAGATGCTGCGCGGGGATCGGATGGGGACCGATCAAGCGGCGACAGGCGGCGGGCAGAGGAGGAGAGGAGCCGCAGCGACTCGCCCTTTTCCGCAGGGGCGAGCGACTCGCCTCAGAGGCGCCCATCATAACGATGATGGCAGCCCGCCGCGAGAAGGTCGCGGCCAGAGCAAAGGCGACGATACGGGCGAGAGTCGCCACCGTCGCCACCGCGACTACCATGATCGCAACGACGACAGTCGCTGTTGGTTGAGCGTGCCGCGTCGGTACTGCAGCGGCTCGGGAGCGGGCCTGACGCCCTCATGCTGCGGGCGCGCTGCTGCAGAAACCTTTCCGCTGAAAGCTTGTCGCGATGGCGCAGGCAGCGGAAGCGTCACGAGACGAGCTAAAAGACCCTCTTTCCTTGGCGATCGCTGAAAGAAACCGTCCTGCTCCTAGTGACGCCACAGAATGCACTTGGCGAGTTAGAGGCAGAGCCTAGGATCAATACGACGGGCTCGAAGCAATGATTCCGTAGCAAATTAGATCAGTGAAATCGCTCAAGTAACGAGAGAGCAATTGTATATTATGCAAGAGTGGGTACACAAGTCGTCAATGGAATGAACTCTCTGTTTTGCTCTCTGGAATTTATATCTAAAACACACATGCAGAAATGTAACATCGAACCGCGCGCGACTCGCTAGAAATTCGGACTCAGGATTGCGTCCAATTTCCGCGACGTCCGCGTTCACAATTTCAGACTTTGCCGAGTTCGTTTCTTCACGCCGACAATCGTGTGTTACAAGAAACAATAGCGAGTGTAGCAAAATGCTCGTAACATTCGCTTGCACTCTCGCTATTTTCGTGCATGCATGTGGGGCTGCCAAGTGTCGCCCCCACAAATGTTCGGACCCAACCGGGGGAAGTTCGGTTGCGTGGCGACGCGGACAATCCGCCGTCACCCCAACCTTCCAAGAACGAACCCTCCCTTGGTCTGAGTCAAGGGAGTGAGAAGAAACGAGGAATGAGAATGACTAAGGGAAAGTTGGGTACAAATGTAAACCCTAGAAAACTGTACCCCATATGTGCTACCCCACTATAGCCTACAGCAGCTATGTCATATAAATCTGACACACCCCCATAGGCAAAGTGGGGGAGAACAAGGGGTCACAAGACCAGTCAAGCAAAGCAAAGCAAGCTCAGGGTGGATCACAAAGTCACCACACATTCCGAGCACAAGTTCAAGGCCACAAGGCCAGTTCACATGCAGAATTACATATATATAAAAGGCTAGACAAGCAAGAGCAGGTGTATATATATATGCAACAGTACAAACAAGGTCAAGGGGTGAGCAAGTGAGGCAAGGTAGGCACAAGACCCAGCTGAGTACAGAAGCGCTGATGATCACAAGGCGCAAGTGCCTTGGTGAAGATATCAGCAGTGTTGGCCTGAGAGGCCACGTACGCAAGCCGCAGCTGACCACGCTGCTGTAGCTCACGAGCAAGGAAGTAGCGGAGAGCAATGTGCTTCGTTCTGTGCTCCAGTCTCTGCTCTCGACACAAGGCCAGCATGGCCTTGTTGTCTACGTACAGCACTGGAGGAGAACGAGGCGGCTCTCCGAGGTCAGTCAGCAGGTAGGTGAGCCAGCGAAGCTCCTGTGCAGCCATGGCCCCGGCGTAGATCTCAGCCTCACAACTGGAGCCGAGAACAGAAGACGAGTGGGTAGCCTGCCACGAAACAGAGCCGGAACCAAGGCTGAAGGTGTAACCCTGTGACGACCGCTGCGTAACCTGGTCGTCAGCCCAAGAAGCGTCTGCGTGCCCAGTGAGGACCACTGGACTCTGCCCTCCAAGCACAAGCCCCATGCCCGACGTACTGCACAAGTAACGCAACACCCTCTTCGCTGCAGCCATGTGCTCCGGTCTGTGTCTCCCAGGAGCAACATAGCGTGCGAGAATGCTAAGAGGGTATGCGAGGTCAGGTCGTGTGCAGGTCATCAGGTACATGAGGCAGCCAACAAGCTCTGGGTACGGGCCACTCGACTCTATGGACTCATCCGAAGGCAGAGCTGAGAGCGAGTGGCGAGTAGGCAGAGGAGTGGACTGAGGCGAGGAGTACGTGAAGCCGAAGCGCTGAAGGACCTGCTGCACCATGTGTGACTGAGTCAGGGTAATGGTGCGGCGTGCTCTGTCCCAGGTGATCTGCAAGCCAAGGTAGCTGCGCAGTTCACCCAGGTCTGTGCACGTGTGTCTCTTCTGCAGCTCGGACTTCACGTGGGCGAGTCCAGCAGTGTCAGCTGTGGCAAAGACCAAGTCGTCGACGTACACGAGGATGTAGAACGGCGGCAAAGATGTGTCGGTGCGCAGAAACAGCGACGGGTCGGCAGTAGAGGGAGCAAACCCAAGAGCCGCAAGTGTAGTCCTCAGTGTGTCGTGCCACTCACGCGGTGCCTGGCGGAGACCGTAGACTGGCCGCCGGAGGCTCCACTGGGTGCCAGGAGGAAAAGACCCAGTGAAGCCAGGTGGGCGACGCAGCCAGATCTCCTCGTGCAGGCTGCCCTGCAAGAAAGCAGTGCTGAAGTCAAGAGAGTGCAGCTCGTAGTCGCGGTGAGCAGCTATGTGCAGCAGTACCCGAAGAGTGGTCATCTTCGGGGTGGGAGAGAAGGTCTGAAAGTAGTCAACTCCCTGCCACTGACTGAAGCCACGAGCCACGTAACGCGCCTTGAAGACAGGCGGAGAACCCGGCGGTCGCTTCACCCTGAAAATCCACATGCCACTGATGATGTTCGCCCCAGGCGGGGGAACCTCGTCAACGTAGGTGCCTGTGGACTTCCAGGAAGCCATCTCTGTGTCCATAGCTGCCTGCCACTGAGAGGAGTAGGGACCCTCTATCGCCTCCGCGTAAGAGCGCGGAGTCGGGATGTCAAGTGCATCCGGGTCTCCCTCAGGGGTAAGCAGTACGGACACGAGATGAGGTGAAGCAGCAGCCAAACACTGGAACTCCTCCTGCATGTCCTCAAGGACGTCCGTGCCAAGGGCACACTCACCCCCGACGGACGGAGGACAGACAGACTCAGACTCAACGACAAGACTAGCAGCGTAGTCTAGACGACAGCGAGCAGCAAAGTCGACGAGCTCAGCAACTAGGGCAGACGCAGCAGTGGACTCAAAGGAAGGGTCAGTGACGAAAGTAGCAAGGAGACGCGTGACAGTAGGACTGGCAGCACGAAGAGAGTCCGACGCCGGGTCGGGAAGAGCAGGAAGAGGGGACTCAGGAGGAGAAGGCAAAGAGGCACGCAGAGGAGCAGTGGACGGACGCAGAGACATCCGGTGCGTGCCAGGGACAGGAGGAGGACGCTGACGCGAACCACGGCCACTAGTGCGAGCAAGACGGACAGGCGACGCAGGGCGAGACGCAGGCTCACGACGCTCAGCCAGACCTCCAGTAGGACCAGTGTAGGGAGAAGGAGCGGGCAGTGTGGAGGCCGGCTGTAACTGTAACTGGGACGGGACAGGCTGTGGACACTCTAAGGGAGGAGGAGGACCAGTAGAAGGCGGGAGACCAAGAACCTGCTGAAGGAGCGGAACGAAGTACGGCCGAGGCCGCGCGGCGACTCCAGACACAGCAGGGACAGCCCCAGTACCCCCAGCGGCAGCACCAGCGCCAGCAGCACCTCCAGCTCCAGTACCTCCAGCAGCACCAGTAGCACCCCCAGCAGGACCGCCTCCAGGACCGACAGCAGTAGCCTCAGCGCCAACACCCTCAGCAGCTCCAGCTCCAGGCGTACCCGCAGGCCCAGCAGCTCCAGTACTCCCAGTACGAGCACCTCCGGGACCCGCGGCACCAGCACCCTCAGCAGTCGAAGAACCTCCAGCTCCAGCAGCACGCCTCCAGCGCCGGGCAAACCACTCTCGCAGCTCCTGTGGAGAGAGTGGCTCCTGCCGAGACGAAGCACCCGGAGAACCTCCAGGCTCAGCACCGCCAGACGCCACACGAGCAGGCCCAGCTCCCTCAGGCTCCGCACCCCCAGGCTCAGCACCTCCAGGCGTAGCACCCCCAGGCTCAGCACCCCCAGGCGTAGCACCCCCAGGCTCAGCACCCCCAGGCCCAGCACCCCCAGTAGTAGCACCCCCAGGCTCATCACCCCCAGGCTCAGCACCCCCAGTAGTAGCACCCTCAGGCTCAGCACCCCCAGGCGTAGCACCCACATGCTCAGCACCCCCAGAGTCAGCACCCCCAGGCTCAGCACCCTCAGCAGCACCAGAGTCACCAGTAACCTCGACAGGCTCGACTGCGTCTACCTGGGACACACCTGAAGGGGCAGGACCCTGAGGGGGGAGGGGGTCTACCGGGGGGGGACCTGGCACAAGGAAGAGCGGTGGCGGGGGGAGGGACGGAGTGCGGTAGGGGAAGAGGCGGTAGTAGGGGACCGACTCGTCAAACGTGACGTCCTGAGAGGACAGAACACGGCGAGAGGTGGGGTGGTAGAACTGCCACCCTGGCG